CATACGTGTCATCTGAACGTGTTGTTCCGTATGACGTGATATAACGTACCACCCCTTGCCGAAATGTCCGTGCCATTTTTACCGTGCCATTCCGTAAAACGTGCCTGCGCGCGCCACACAATCCGTGCCACTTCGTACATTCCCGAAACCAACCCGTACCACGACCCGTACCACTTTTCTTATAGGGCATAAGTGTACACCATCTCTAAATGCATGTCAAGTACTGGTCAATTCATATGTTCTATAAATCTATTTTGTTTTCTAAGTGCATGTTGTTAAAGAGCGTGCACTTATAGAGGTTTTACTGTATACTAAAAAATTTAGATGTTAATTGACTGGATTATCTTTATCTGTGTAATAGTAAATAGAATTGTTATTATAAACATTATTACAATGAATAAAGCGATTTTTAAAAGATATGCATTATAATCTTAAATCACCTTGAGTTGCATTTACTGGCACAGGCAAATTTTCGAATTGATAAATACGACTTTTATTTTGCATAGCAATTAAAATTTGGCTTTTGTCAGGCTCAGTGATTAAAAAAGAACTTTTATCTTTTTCGACCAACGACAAATCCTTATTTTTTTTATCCGTTAAAATTGTATCCTTGGTCTTAGTTGTTGAGAATTGTTTTTTATCTTTTTGACATTTAAATTTTCCTTTTATCCATCTAATTAACCGTTTAGTTTTGGGCATTTTAATTGGAATAAGATTCAATTCTTCGTTGGTACCATCATTTTCATATATTTCTCTAAGCAAATTCTCCATCTTTTTCATAATTGTAATAGCATCTGGTCTGCTTTCTGGATTTGCATCCCAGCATTTAACCATTAAATCTGCGTAATCTGACGGGATTTCATCAATAACTTTAGGTCTCAATCCATTAACTATACTTATAGCAAGCTCATTATCTGTTTCCTTCATTTGGTCATAAAAAGGTGGCACGCCTGAAGAAATTTCCCACATAATCATTCCCAAACTGTAGATGTCTGATTTTATTGTATATGAATTATTATATAACACTTCAGGAGCAATATAGGGAAGATTTCCATATATTTTATTTGATTCTTCTAACGACTTATATACGCCAAAATCACTAACTACGCAATGAGGTTTGGCCACATCAACTAGAATATTTCTCGAGTGTAAATTTTTAAGTATTCTATTTTGATTATGTATTTTTCTAATACTATTCGAAATATTTCGTACCATTTTAAATTTAGTTTTCCAAGGTAATTCATTTGTTTTTACAAGAAAATCACGTAAATTACTATCCATGCATTGAAGAACAATCATAAAATCTTGTGTGTCCGGGTCTCTGGTTAATCCATAACATTTTATAAGAGATTGGGAAAATTTTTCAAAAGTAAGACTTGCGATAACCTAATATGAATTTAATTATTATTAATGAAGTTATGTAACTTCGATATGAATTTACATGACGTTCGAATGGAATAATTTTCTTTTGTTCACTTTGTAGTAAACCTTTAGTAAATTTTCGATGCAGTTAAGAGCGAATAGACTTATGTTTGAAATCGATTCTCAACTAAAATCTGCCAGTATCGAAAACTAAAATAATTTTATAGCAGTTTGAAAAAGGTGTGACCTCAAGTAAAATTGTGGGAAATTAGCAGATTCTAGATTTTTTGATTCTCCGAAAATTTTAAAGATTTTCAACAAATATAACGTTACTAACTAAAATATAATCTATAGGAAACTTAAATCACAAAAATTTCCCATTATCATCACGAAAATCACAAGGTCACACCTTTTTGCAAAGCGCAATATGAACTCCATTACCATTTGCAAGAGGCAAATTTTACATTTGTTTGGCATATGGTGATAAAATATAGGGGAATTTACATATAAGGCCCGAAAAATGAAAATAATTACAGATAAGGACCCAAAGTGAAAATAATTACATATAAGGGCCAAATTTTTAAAAAATATTACAATTAAAGGAATAAGATAGCAAATTTTTAGTATACAAAAAAAATTATATAAATGTAATTGTCTTTTGACATTTAAACGTATTATTTTTTTAATCAGTATCGCATTTATTCTCAGCGCCTTTCATGCAAAAATTATAACCACTTTTGCCAAATTTTAAAAGTATTTAACTTTCTCTACGAAGAAAAATGAACTTCCCCGGTTCTAAATATCTACGATTAATGTATAGTAACCTTCATAAAATACACTAGTTTGGTATAGCGATAGGATAAACATATAAGTTTAGAACCAAATAAACATTAAATATCAATATATATCGTATTTAAACTAGTTGAATAGTTTCTTTGTTAAAAGAAAGTTCATTAAGTACAAAATGTATAAATCAATACATATATATGTTCGAAGATCATAACATTATTTTTGCCTTTAATTGTAAACTTTTCAAAATTTGGATCCTTATATGTAATTATTTTCACTTTGGGCCCTTATTTGTAATTATTTTCATTCTTCGGGCCCTTATATGCAAATTCCCCTTAAATTAATTATTAGCCCTTTAAACATCTGTACGATGATATTGTGAATTTTCAGTACATTTAGCACATGCAGTATCGGCTGTCGCATTGGGGTGCGTGATATATAAATCAAAACTATATGTGGTATTATACAAAAACTTAATATCTAAAATTTTATATATCAAATAATTTTACATGTTTTTCGCGAAATTTAAATAGATGCACAGCTCTAACGGTTTATTATTTTGGGATAAAATTTCGCAGAGACCAATAT